TTACAATGTAGAATACCCTATTTATAGGGTTACAAATAACACTAAATGGAAATAAACTTATAAGGAAATATTGTACAATCAACTACTAAGGTAAATAATCATACACTAAAAGGAAAAATATAAGGGAAAATATTCTATACAATATTTCCATATTTTACACCCTCCCCTCAGACTTAATATGGTGTAGAGTATTGAATTTGAAGAAATCGATCCAATCAAATCTTCCAAATTGATGTAGAATGAACTCCAAACACCTGAGGTCTTTGTCATTGTTGATGGAGATAAGTGTCTTCTCGTTTGCTTGGAAGAGAATATATGAAGGACATTTTTTTTTAACATGAAAAAAACCTCTAGTTTGTTTAAGAGACACAAGTTAGAAAACTCCTAATTTGTTTAAGAAGCACTGAAGAAAAAAAAAAAGCCTCTAGTTTGTTTAAAAGGCACGAGTTAGAAAACCCCTAATTTGTTTAAGGGGCATTGAAAAAAAAAAAAAAAAACCAAAAAAAAACTTTGGAGGGTCGATTCCTTGAATTTTACCGGCTTTCCTGTGCCCCTTAAACAACCTAGGGATTTTCTTGTGTTAAATTTTTTTTTGAAGATCGGTACCTTGAATTTTACTGACTCTTTTCGTGCCTCTTAAACAAATTAGAGGTTTTTTTTTTTTTTTTTAACACAAGAAAACCCCGGATTTGAAAGGGGCAAAAAAAAAAAAAAAAAATTTAATTCCTAAAAAAAGGAAAAAAAAAAAAATTTTTTTTTTTTTCCTTTTTTTAGGAATTAAATTTTTTTTTTTTTTTTTTGTTCAACACAAGAAAACCCCGGATTTGAAAGGGGCAAAAAAAAAAAAGAAAAATTTAATTCCTAAGAAAAGGAAAAAAAAAACAATTTTTTTTTTTAAACAACTTTAAAAAATTAAAACACAAAAAGATTACCGTATTTGTGAGAGTTTGAAAAAAATGTAGTGGTTTCTTGAATTTGAAGGCAGAACACCGCCATGTGCATTCCAACTGTGTCTCCTACCAGGGAACTTAGATTGCAAGTAATATAATATTGGCTGCTACAGCAAATTCTCTTCCTTTTCTCCTCAATTTCTTAATTCCTCCAGTAGCAGGCTCTCTTGACTCTTATTTGCCGTACAGACTCATTAAAGAGGGGAAACAATGTTTTGATAAAGGCCTGCACTGGCCAATAATAACGTGGTCATCCACTTTCACATGGCAGCGGATAGTTGATTGTGGTTTTCTTCAGAGGCAGCAATTCACAGGTTAATTTGAAGATCGAACCTGCTCTAATACTGTGATAAGAAAAATATGAATGATTTATACAATATAAGCTCATATGAATATTACAATGTAAGCTCTTAAATATTACAATGTAGAAGACCATATTTAGATGGTTATAAATAACACTAAAAGGAAATAAACCAATTAGGAAATATCGTACAATCAACTACTAAGGTAAATAATCCTACACTAAAAAGAAAAATATAAGGGAAAATATTCTATACAATATTTCCATATTTTACAACTTTCAAATCCAAGTAAATGTATTCTTTAAAAGTCTTATTTTCTTATATATATTTTTGGAGTTTTTGATCAGTTAAACCTTTTATTTAACTAATGCTCATGAAGAAGCATATGTTTTTATTATGACACTGTTGTTGCTCCTAAAAGCATGACATTACAATTTCAATATTTCAAATGAATATTGACATATTGCTCCAGCAGAAACATACTTTTATATTGAATTAATATACTAGAAGAATAATCAATTGTCGTTCTAGAACGAAATACGATTTAGACATTAGAATATTCCAGAAGAATATTGTAGAATCGTTTTAACCAATTTATACAAATCAATATTTTAAAAGAATATTGTGTTGATATTGAAGAAGCATAACTAAATATGTGATTTCAAATCTTATTCAAGGCTTCAGAAAAAGTAAATATTCTATTAATCTCGATTACTAATTTTATATAAGTCTGATGTTAATGCTGTAGAGATACATAACATATATGCAAATAATCCATTATTCTATAAGAATATGTTGTTATTTCAAATAACGACTTATACATATTAATCTTCCAAAAAAACAATATGATTAAATTAAATATATCAATATTCCTGAAGAATAATATTCTATTATTTGTGCACAATCATAATCAACTATATATCATATCCGAGAAAAATATTATTTTAATACCCCAGAAAAGCCAATACTGTAATATGCTGGAATATAAAGTTTTACTATCGATAATAATTTATTTTCTACTAAATTAAATATAAACATAATAATTTTCTAAATATGTGTCATAATTGATAATATACAGACATTGGCACAATTGAAGCAAATAATGCCCTGAACTAGGGTTCAATAACTATAATATTTTATTGTGTTTACACTATCAATTACATCTTTATCGGATCAATAATGACAAGAAATTGAGAATTCAAATGGATATTTAACGGAGAGCCAGGAAAATTTTCAATCCGATGAAATCCTATATAATTTTTGTCTTCTTTATCGAAAATTGATCATCAACTATCACTATCTAAAATAGGGATTGAATTTCCCATATTTTTAAAAACTAATTAGGAGATATGGGCCCCGTCACCCTCCACATTGACCATTTAGACATTATCTATATCTAGTTCATATGATACATCTACAAAATTATTGCATAGCGTTCGCAACCTAAAATTTGTGAAATTATTGTTCAAATTTTTTACGTTATAGGCATAATTTTCAGATTATACAACCAGGATGGTGTGCCTTTTAATGCTAGTGAGCCTAAATCATAACCTCTTAATAAGTATTAGTTGAAATGGCGATCAATAATTTAATACTATTATTTGTTAAATGCTTTCAATTAATTTTCTATACCATTACTATTGAGAATAAACTAATTCCCATTTTTGTCTAGAGAACGCTATTAGCATCATGCCAACATCAAAGTTTTCCCGCTATATTTGGATGGTCAGAGCTTATTTTTTTTATCTAATTATTTGATAGTGCAATAGATGTACAATTAATCTAACACAATGCACTGAGATGAAATATAAAAAATGTTGAGAATTTATGCAAACATTTTCCCTGAAATCAAAGTAAGAAAAATTAAACTATTTCTATCTGCCCAAGCCCAAATGACTCAACTGTATCTAGCTTTCTTTGTCAAACATGTTTTCTGAGATCAACAACTCAAATATAAAGTGTAAAAGTGTGTAAAAACAGTTAAGAAAATAACATATATTAGTTAAGAATTTTGATGTTTTGAACGCATGATTGAATCAATTCATCTTTGAAAACTATTTTTTGACCTTCAAAATATGTTTTTATAAGATCAATTTATGTTCAACCACCCTTCTGAACGTTGATTGGCATAGATATTTATAATATGAAGTGTTTGAGTTGAAATATGATACGAAAACTGTTCAAAATCACGAAACAGGGTTTGGCTAAACCTCATCACCGGTCGAGCACCAGCCTCTTGACAAGCAAGCAATGGGCTTGCTGCTTTGGATACTCGGCGCCCAGTTTGCATGGAGTGAGCAATTTTTAGACTATTTTTCTCCTTGGTCCATGTTTGATCTTCTTGACTCCTTCCATGTTTGATCTTCTTGACTCCTTGTAGACCTATACTACTACCCACAATAACTCTTTGACTTTAATTGCAACTCCATTTCTTTAATTTTGTCTAGGAATCACCAATTACAATTTAAACTTAACACATTCCACTTGACTGAACATGTTCTAATGTATTCAAATGAGCACAATTATTTTTATTTATTTGGACATTTGAGCAAAAGAAATTTTTGAATTAATTATTTATTTAATAGTACAAGTTGTCATCTAGATCAATGGAGTGGACCAAATCTTGTTTTGTATGCACGCATTCTTCAATTGGGAAATTTTATGAAACATGGATTGCAAATTGAATGGATGATCCGACTGAACAACTGTCATTTCTGGTGGAGAAGGTTTTGTGTAAAAAGGGAATAAAGAAAAGGAAAGTACAAAGAAAGAAAAAGTGGAGAAGGAAAGAATAAAGAAAAGGGAAAGAAAAGGAAAAGAAGCATTTTTACGATGTGCCCAGGGGCGGACCTAGTGGACCCTAAATTTTTTTGACATTAAAAAAAAGGTCCATACAATAGATTAATAGAAGTCCATGATTTTTAACCCAAGCCCAACAATCTATAAGTTTTTAACATTGAAATATGGTCCATAATTTCCCAAACCCTATGGACCAGTAAGAGGCAACAAGAGTGGGCGACTGTGAGACGGAGGACGGACGGTGCGAATTGCGATGCGAATAGATTGAAATTTGAACATTGAAGAAACAAATTTTTGGTAATCAATTTCTCTGTCTTAATCTTATTATTTTTGTTTTTGTTAGTTATTTATGCAAATAGCAAGTTTAGATATTGTGGTTGGATTAAAAAAAATATTTGAAGCCGTAGCTGTCGCCCGTCAGCCGTGAATGATGAATAAGTGAAACTGTGAAATTGAATGAAATGAATTGCAATATGAATTGATAATGTGACCTTGAATCGTAAATTGTTAGATAACTTATATTTAATTAATTTCTTCCTAAGTTCCTGTCTCTTGGAAATTGGAATTTGGATGAGGGGCAAAGCCGAAAATGTGTTGAATTTGGAATCTTGGATTGTAGATTTGTAGTGGTTCAGTAACTTCAGTTGTTGCCTTGTTGGACTTGGATTCTCAAATGTTAATTGTTACCATTTTTACGTATTTTTATCGGAACTTATAAAAAGAATATACATTAGGATTTAGGTCTCTTGGGTTTTAGTTGCTTATATTTGATATCCAAGTATCCATCTGAGTATTTGTTTTTCATTTATATTACTTGAGAAACTCACTTATTTTTTAGATCAAGGTCATTTTAGTTCATCAATTTTAGATTCGGAGTTCATCTCTTAACTTTCCATTTCACCATTGGTATATTTATGCAAGCTTTGTTTGGCTTGTAGGATAGGAAGATATGTTGAGATATTTTAAAAGGGTATCTCAAATATCTAATGAAGAAAATGTTGAGGCAAAGAAACAACGCATTGAGGAAATTTCTATCGAAGAAAATGTCGAGGCAAAGGAAGCCAGTGGTAAGGATGCTACTGTTGGAGAAAATGATAAAGCAAAGGAAGCAAGTATTGATGACACTAATTTTCAAGAAAATGATGAGGTAAAGAAAGCAAGTATTGAGCATATTGATGTTGCACAACTTCCCACGGATCCCGGATTAAGAACTCCAATATTGGATTATAATGTTAATCTTCGAGATCAAATAAGAAGAGCATGCTTGCAGAGAGGTCCGTGTCAACCTCGGAGTCATGTGTTTCCACGTAAAAAATCAAGGCGATTCATTCCTGCTTGGTTCAATGAATATTCTGATTGGTTAGAATATAGTATAAGTAAAAATACTGCATTTTGCTTATACTGTTATCTTTTCGGACCAAACAATGGGGAACAAGGAGGTGGTGATGCTTTTGTAAAAGAAGGGTTCCATAATTTTAAAAAGAAGGATAGACTTGGAGTTCATGTTGGAGATGTCCATAGTGCACACAATCAAGCCCGAAGAAACTGTGAAGCCTTGATGAATCAAGAGCAACATATTGAGACAGTTTTATTCAAGCAGTCAAAAAGAGCACGGAGTGCATATCGAATTCGTTTGAATGCATCAATTGATTGTATACGACTTCTTTTACGTCAAGGACTAGCTTTTCGTGGTCATGATGAGTGTGAAGAGTCAAATAATCAAGGTAACTTTCTTGAACAATTGAAATTTCTAGCTGATCATAATGAAAAGATTAAAGCTGTCACTTTGAAAAATGCTCCAAAAAATCACAAACTAACATCACCAAAAATTCAGAAGGATATTGTAAGTGCTGGAGCTATTGAAATGATTGATGTTATCATCAAAGATATTGATGATACATTCTTTTCAATTTTAGTTGATGAATCTCAAGATATCTCAGTGAAGGAGCAAATGTCTGTTGTTTTATGTTATGTTGATAAGACAAGACATGTGGTTGAACGTTTTATTGGAATTGAACATGTTTCCAGTACTACAGCTCTATCATTTAAAGCGGCTATAGATAAATTATTTTCAAGATATGGGTTGAGTATATCCAGATTGCGAGGTCAAGGTTATGATGGGGCGAGTAATATGCAAGGTGAGTTCAAAGGTCTTAAAACACTTATTTTGAAAGAGAATCCAAGTGCCTTTTATGTTCATTGTTTTGCTCATCAACTTCAATTAGCTCTTGTAGCTATGGCAAAGAAGCATAAGAAAATCCCAAAACTCTTTAATTTGGTTTCTAGCATGGTGAATATTGTTGGAGCTTCTTCTAAACGTTGTGATATTCTCCGAGAGAAACAAGAAGCCATAATTTCTGAAGCACTCATTAATGGTGAGATTTCAAGTGGGCGAGGTCTTAATCAACAAAGTACTATTGCACGTTTTGGTGATACACGTTGGGGATCGCATTATCGTACTTTGGTTAGTTTGATATTGATGTTCTCACCTATAATTGATGTCATTGAAATGATTTCAATTGATGGATCAACCCGTGAACAAAGATGTGATGCTGATAATTTATTGGACTCAATGCAGTCATTTGAGTTTGTGTTTAATTTACACCTCATGAGAACTATCTTAGGAATTTCCAATGAATTGTCTATGGCATTACAAAGAAAAGATCAGGATATCGTAAATGCCATGAGTTTAGTGACAGTATGCAAACAAAGACTCCAAGAAATGAGGGACAATGAGTGGGATTCCTTTTTGGATGAAGTCATTTCTTTTTGTCAAAAGCATAATATTGATGTTCCTGATATGGATAGTGTGTTTGTACGCCCAGGTCGCTCACGGCGTAATACTGAAGAAATGACAAATTTTCATCGCTTTCGTGTGGATTTATTTTATTCTGTCATTGATATGCAACTTCAAGAATTGAATGATCGTTTTTCTGAGGTAAGTACAGAGTTACTTCTTTGTTTAGCATGTTTATGCCCCGATGATTCATTCTCTGCTTTTGACAAGGATAAATTAATTCGTCTTGCTAAGTATTATCCTAAAGATTTTTCAAAGATACAGCTCATGACACTTGATGATCAGCTTCGAAACTACATTGTTGATATGCGCTCTAACAAGGAGTTCAGAGAATTGAAGGGACTTAGTGAACTTGCATTGAAGTTGGTTGAGACCAAAAGAAATAAAGTGTATCCATTAGTTTACATGCTTGTGACTTTAGGATTAACTCTTCCAGTTGCTACTGCTTCAGTTGAAAGAGTATTTTCGGCTATGAACATTGCGAAGAATCGATTGCGTAATCAAATTGGAGACCAGTGGATGAATGATAGCTTAGTTGTGTATGTGGAAAAAGATGTATTTAACGAAATTGATAACAAGACTATTATACGGCGTTTTCAAAGTATGAGAAGCCGTAAGGAACAATTGTAAAAAAGTACTACGTTTTGATTATTATCGTTATTTCTAACTTGAAATTCTTTTTTACGTAATTTTTTCTCGCCCCCACTGGATCATAACCCTGGGTCCGCCCCTGGGTGTGCCAATACGTAAGCTGTAAAAAAATTTAACCTTTTTTATCTTACATTTTTACGGTGTGCAATATGCATGTCATAATTTTTTTTATGATACTCTTTTAATACCCATTCCGGCCTCATTTTTATGTAAGAATGCATTTTGAACTAGTAGGTTGATAGAGAATTTATGGTTAAAAAAAAATAAAAAAGCTTTGATTTGCGTGTAATATTATATTATTGAAAAATGTGTAGTTGAAAAGAAAAGAAAGAAAAATGTATTTTGGGAAGAATGAGGATCAAATAAAATCTTAATGTATGCCGTAATTAGTATATTTTTTAAAAAAAATAAAAAATTATAAATATTTTTTTTTCTATCAAATTCTATGGCATGCTTGAGATTTACGGCACACATTTATTTAAGGCATGCCATAAATAGTTTATTTTTACGACATGCCTTATATGCACACAGTAAACAAATGCCTTTTTTTTCGTTATAGTGAAAAGTTCTTTGTTTTGGCTCTTTCTTCTCCCATGAATTCTCTCTTTTTTAATGATCAATTAATTTTTGAAGTGTTGCATAATCTTACGGTCAAACATTGGGTGGAGTAATTCGTATATTATTAGCAAAGCTTAGTTTTTCATATATGTATTATTAGCAAAGCTTAGTTTTTAGTTTTTCATTAATGGAGTCCGAATGTTGGAATAATTAGTATTTTTATAAAATATAGCTTTTTGCACAATCATAACATTTTTCTTGCACTTTTCACTTTTTATTATTTTAGCACATAGTTCATAGTTACCAAAGGGGAAAATTGCAGCAGCTGTCCCAAATCTTGCAGATTTTACCTTAACCTTCATTTTGTGCCAGTCACAATCCTAAGCCTTTCAAAAATATGCACTGAGAGTCCAGATGGATGGAATCTATCCATTTGACTGTTAGTTGGCCAAGAAAGTCAAAATTTGACCAATTGAAAAGGGTAAAAAGGTAAAAGTCACTTAACCATATAATAAAACAATTAAAATAAATAACTAAAATAAAATAATGATAATAATAATAATAATAAAAGCAAATACTATTCATCTCCTTCTTCACCTCACCCCACGCTGCCAGCCCTCCCGAAAACCACCTACAAACCCCAAAACGGCTGCCTAAACCACACCACCCCTTACTCAAAACTAGAATACGGCTACTGCTATTACCCAAAACCAAATACCCCATGCCACCCTGCCCCACCCCCTAAACCAAAATCATTGAAAAATGAAAATCAGCCATGGCCGCCACCTCCACCAAGTTGCCTCACCGCCATCGCCACTGTCACCACACAAACCTCAAACAAACAACACATAATATCAACCAATAGAGAAAGAGAAAGCTACGCTTTAACTTATTCAACCTGTAAGTTAATCTACTCAGGTTACCCAAATAAAAGTTTAGAAAATGCAGAATTACAGATGATACATTAGTAAATAGAAATAAAAATCTGCTGCTGCAATTTTCAATAGTTTTATAGAGTGATTAAACCTATCAATTCAAAGAACGGGGGTACTTTTAAAAACTACCTAGTCAAAAGACCCATTTTTCACATTGACCGGAATTTTTTTGCCATTCACAAGAAGAGTCTTTTGAAGAGTAAATATCATTTTTGTTCTTATTATGTGTTGTAATTACAAAAACATATTGTTTGCTCAAAAGACAATAATATTCTCTTTAAAAAATTAATAAATCCAAACAATCTCACTTAAATTTCAAAACGAAATCACTTTCCTTATCAGATTCTCCAACACAGTTAAAAAGAAATTTCCTCTTCCATCTACTTAAACATTGAAATCTCAAAAAATTATCAAAGGCTCAACAAAAAAATATTACTCACAGTCGGCACTTGAAATTGGTAAGTACAAATACGTATGTTTAAATTCATTTTAGTTAAATTAGTTCATTGTTTGAATATTTAAATCTTATTTCAATGTATGATTTTAGAAAAATAAAATATTACAGTCTTAAACGGATGTATAATTTTTTTTTTTAGCAAAAACGAGGAAAAAAATTTATCTATTCAAACACGCCGGCTCGAACACTGCCCGAGCCTTCTTTTTTTGTGTTATTTTTTTTCCTTTTATTCTCGTAATTGCAATTTTTTTAATAAATGATCTTTCCTAATGCAGATATGGGATCAGCTGCTATCCCGATTTGTTACTTTGGTGAATTTGAAAATAATCGATGGTGTGTGAAAATGGACGAGTGAAAAATATGGTTATACTGCAATTGTAATAACATCAAATACATCATATGCAGAAAAGTACAATGAGATACAGAACTTGCTGAAAGTCGATCCCCCTGAGTACGCCATGGAATTGGGATTTCTAATGGGCGAGCATACATCAATTTCAATTCAACCTATAATGATTACTTCTAAAGTTGAAATGAAGGTTCTAATTAAAATGAACTAGAAATGTACGATTCTTATTTGCTTAACTTTAATGAAGAAGAATGTCCCCGAGAGTGAACACGAAGATTTCGATAGAGGGGATCGTAATGTGAATGAGTTTTGGGACACAGTGGAAATAGTGCATGATGATGTTGTAGTTGTTCCAGAGACAGTTGCTCCTCACCATGATCTCACTGTTACACACAGAATTTGTTTGGTAGTTCAAGACAACGAAAGAGATAATGACTTTACAAATAAGAATTTGATTGCTTTGTCTCGTTTGAGACATGAGTCGAGTGGGAGTTCACAGGCTGGACCAAGTGCACCATCCTCTAATTGTTCGCGTATAGTCCCCGATGATGAAGATTTTTATGTCGAGCAACTGTTTGACACGAAGAAAGATTTGTAGGAAGTTATTCACCGGATTGCTTTGAAACACAATTTTGAGTTTAAAGTAAAGAAATCAAAACAAGTCGACTTACACAATTGTCTGCGTTGACGACAGTTGCCTTTGGCGTTTGCGAGCAACGAAAATGGACACGAATGAGTTCTTTGTGGTTCGTAAGTATGCACAGGAACATACTTGCAAAGTGGATATTCGTCGAAATGATCACAGGCAAGCCTGATCAGGGTTCATTGGTCGAAAAGTAATGCACAAGTTTCAGGATCCACGAACAATCTACAGACCTTCGGACATTAATAATGACATTCGTCGAGAGTACAGGGTGGTCATGAACTATCAGAAGGCTTGGAAGGCCAAAGAATGCACGTTGGAGGACTTGATGGGTTCGACCGAGGAGACTTATGCTAAATTGGCCAGGTATTTCTTTGTTTATATATTTATTTAATAGTTATCTAACTAACTCAATCATTAACTTCAATTGTTTATTTAATTATTTATCGATTCTTTATCTAATGTGTAATTAATTATTTAATTCAATTGTTAATTTTTCAATTTTTTAATATTGTTTATTTAATTATTAAAATTATGATTATTGTTTATTTAATTGGTCATGTTTTGTTATAACATGGAAAGAATTAATACTGAATCGACATTTTTTATTGAGAACGATGACGAGAATCGCTTCAAGTATTTCTTTATGACTCTTGGACAATGCGTTCGAGGATTTAGAAACGTAATGCGACCCTTAATCCTGGTCGACGATACAACCGTCAAGGTGAGATACGGGGGCAAGTTGATTATTGCAACATGTTAAGATGCTAACATCCAAATTTACCCTCTTGCATTCGGTATAGTTGACGGATAAAATGATTTGGCAATGCGTTGATTTTTCACGAAGTTGGGGGAAGTAATTGGAGATGTCGAGAACCTTGCATTCGTAATCTACCGAGGGCAGTCAATAATTAACGGTATCGCCGAAGTCTTCCCCGAGGCACATCATGGTTATTGTATGTACCATATACAAGGAAATCTGAAGACCAAGTATCGAGGCAAGGGCATCGTTACATTATTTAGGAGAGTTGCAGAGGTTTACAGTTTTCAAGAGTTTGAAAAGTTTATGGTTGAAATAGAAAGTAAATCCTATGATGCATGGGAGTATCTGACAGAGATAGGGATCGAACATTGAGCACGATCACATTTTCCAGGACGTCGATACAACATGATGACGTCGAACAATGCGGAGTCGCTCAATGCCTTATTTAAGAAGGATCGAGAGTTACCAATCTTGCAATGCTTGAGAACATTCATGACAAGCTGCAACAGTGGTTTCATGATCGTCGTGAGGAATCATAGAGTTGCACAAGTGTGCTAACCCCGGCTCAGGAAGATAAACTCTTCAAGATTCTAGAGGTGACAAGGAAGGTATATGTAGAACAACTAGATCAGTTTCGCTTCTCTGCGAAATGTGCACATAATTTTGAATACATCATCAACTTGAATGATAACACGGTTTCAGTTGGAGAGTTTTTCATGTACACATACAGTGGCGGTGGCTATGTATAGAGGAATTCCACCACACACCTTATGCAGTGCTTATTACACGACTGGTTCTTGGAAAGCAGCATATGCTGAAACCATATTTCCTGTACCAAATGAAGTCGAGTGGGAAGTTCCCAATCACATTCTCTCATTGAATAAATTCTTGCCACCAGCAGTCGGTCCACGTACTCCTGAACGTACACATACATCTAGAATACCATCGATCGAAAAATTTCCCCGACCTCGTAAGTGCGGCAGGTGCGGTGCAACAGGACAACTAGAAGATTTTGTACAAGTCAGATCCCTCTGCATGACAACGTAACAGATGTATAATTGAAATTTATGTAACATTATTTATAACATTGATATTAATTATTTATACATATTCTTAATGTTAATTATTAGATTTAGTTTTTTTATTTTAATATTTCATTAATTAGTTTCTTAATATTTGAAGTTTTTTTTTTAACTCAGTGCGTTTTTCACAATATACCCAAACATTATAAATACGTCATGAAACATTTAAATAAACACATAAACTAAAAAATA